GCATACCAATGCTATTCAGCCACAAGCGATGCTATTTGGGCCCCGGACAGCACCCTGGAATAGCATTGCTCGAGGCCAACTAGTACCCAATGCTATTCACACAAAACATTGCAGTGGTGCCCTGATTTTTTTTTGGCATAGCAATAGAGCCCACCACTATGGATGCGCGGAGGGGAGCGATGGCACTGGTGGCAAGGCGGCACAGCAGCCATAGAACTGACCGATAAAGATTCCCTTAGCTTCCAAAACTTGTGCATTAAGATCTAAGGCCCCAGGCACTAGAAAGCAGCCCCAATCGAGACCACAGATGCAGAGATGGTGTGAACAATTACCAGCTAGCGCACTTGCGTTTGGTTGCATACTACTGGTGGGTAGTGCTATATACAGTCTGTAGGGATGGGGGGCGCCCATCCCTTTGTGCTGTGACGTGGCATTTTGCCGGGAGGCGCTGTGATGTGGCATTTCGCCGGGAGGCCGTCCCTGCGATTGATTCAAGCACGGATCAGGCCCCACCAAACACACGATGGTTTCAAAACTGGGAGCGGCCCCCGCCAGCCCATAAGTTATGTGGGCAAACGGCAAGTCTCCGTGGTCGACCAGCCCAGGCGCGATAGCGGCGATGGTCAATCTGGTTACCAAGGGGTCCCAGGCGCCAGCACACAAGGAGCGTCGCCCCTCACCAGCAGCGGTATCTGCTGCTGGAGCACACCACACTGTTTTCATTCATTGTGACCCCCATCATCACAAATGCAGAAATGTCAGGAATTTGCCAGGCCATTGCACCAGCGGGGGTAATGAGCTGTCAGGCGAGCGAAGCTTCAGCAACAGCTTTGTGGATGGAAGTATGCTGGACATTGCCTTGGTGGTGCAAAGACAGCACCTTACCACTTTTAACAAATCCACTCGTTGAGTGCGTTTGTACTATTCGAGTGACAATAGTCCGAGAAATTGTACCGTGCTCAAATGCCGTGTTACTTGAAGACCATAGAAAGGAGCGGCATGGCGCAAGTGCTGCAGAGCGAGAGTCTGCACTATAGCCATACACACCATCACAAGTGACCTATTACCACTGTGCGGAGATCATCTGCAGTATTCACCGTGAAACCTTGCGGAGTGTTTGCATTCGCCCCAAACATGACCAAGCACGCCCTTCCACCAACCTCGGGGCGTGAGGCAGTGCCAACAAGCAAACAAACAGCACAACATCCAGCCAGCATCTGTGCTTCCTTCACACTCAATGGGCTGGAGCGCTTTGGTGAGTCCGGCCACCGAAACGCAGGCGACAGGACACGCAGCGAGGCAGGAAAGGCCGAGATCAACTCCTCAACCCTAGTCGGGGGATGGTGAGTGCGCGGTTATGATCAGCCATCACATATGTGGACGACAAAGAAAAGCAAAGTACACGAAAGGATCAGTTCGATCCCGTGCTGTGTGCTTCAACCCGGCTCCTTTCCCATGCAGTCGTCATGCCACTGAAGAGCACCAAAACTGGGTTGCAAGTCACACCACCTCCAGCCGGAAGCCGTCGAGGGGGACAGCAATTTCGGGGTGCCTTTCCTTCTGGGGCAGTCAGATGGCCACAGCTGATGGCACTGCGCTGGCAGCGGACGCCCTCTGGAGGGGAGCATCCACACAGAACGCTTTCAGCATTTGAGGACCGTGCCTTTTAACAGAAACTTGGTTTTATGGAATGCTTGGACTTTGTTAGTAAGACCATCTAATTTGATAATTGTAACCACCAGCTTGCTTGAACAGGCTCCGAGCACGACCAGGGCAACCCCTTGGAATTCTGCGCAAGCATCTGTGGGGAAGTGTATCAGCATCTTGATCAAGATGCAGGCAAAGGTGATGAAACTGGGCAGGATGTCGATGTGCGTGGCGACTGTGTTGCAGCGCTGCAATAGGAACTGCGGGAGCTGAACCGCACCAGTGATAGGGAAGCGACCACTACAGTAGCACTACAAGATATCATTATACACTACAGTCGATTAACACCAGGAACAATGCAGCAATCCAGAACGCATTTCATTGGTCACCCATCCGACTGTCAGTCATCCCTCCCGTATCCTAGAGATTCCAACAAACTCTGTTTTGGGAAAAGTGGCACAACTTAGCAAGTTTCAGTACTGTGTTGTACCATTCTTTCCAGAAACGGGGTGAACCTTGGTCGCTCTGGGGTGAACATTGGTCACTCTGGAGTGAACACAAGATGCAAAAATTGACAACAGAAACGAAACAAAGACAACACGCAGAACTGCCAGCAAGAGGTAGGTAGCAGCACAACACCGCTCAGCAAAATGTCTTCAGCATTATTTGGTTGATCAATTTTGTGGTAAGGAACATATATTCAATCGTCTGCACAGTGCCTTGCCATTGTGGCGTACAACGACTTGGTAGGGCTTGCTGTTGCCTATTCATTTTGCCTTTCTGTGCTACATTTAAATAGTTGCACAATGGGTGCAGAACAAAACAAAGACAAATCCAAGAAAGCACCAAATTTTTTCCACCAATCTAATCTACCATCCTTACAGGCAGCACTGGTATGTATTTATGACTAAGAACTGAATCATTTGGCTTTGTACCTACCAGGCCTAAATTAGGTGCCGAATGTTGTTTTGCGCAGGTACCAATATGCAATATGGTGACAGGGCACCCAGTCATAGCAGTAGCTCTTTTGTTTAACTGTAAAACATCAGATCATATGTATTATGTAAGATGCAACACTTGGAAGGCAAAGTCTCAAGAGCCTGAGGAGTGGCTTGCACACCTGCGCTGTGCAACAACACAATCCTTCAGGCACAGACCCATGGCAGCAACCAGGCGTTGCGATGTTTGAAGCAAACTGTGCAGTGCAGGTGAAGAACGGGCCCCAAAAACGAGTTGCGATCGCCCAATGTGGCCCCGCCCTGCCACATCAAGCAGCCTTTCAAGCGAACTGAGTGCCACACTCTGCACCTAGTAATACTCAGCACTGCTAACGCGTAGCACGCTTAGCAGCACTCAGTGCTACCAGTATCACTCAGTACTCAGTTTTTAGTTATGAGCTCACTGAGAACAATCTGTAGTGGCCAATAAAGCCATTGGATGGGACAGCTGTTGTGGATGTTGTCCTGTGTGGCTACCGACACATATTGGTTTCCATGCCAATGACTTGACCTCTGATTCTGGCTATGAAAATAAACAGATTTGCGAACAACAGTGTCAGAACCATGGCCAAGATTTGGCCCATTTGAACATCATGTTCAACAATATAGCTCGGGGTACACCATGGTGGTGTGCAATACCAATAAAGACTTTGTGCAATTCAGCAGAGTTTATGCCTGGACAGACAGTGTGTGAAATGTGCTTTTCCCTGCTAGTGAGATGTAACCTAACAAAAGCAACTACATGTAAAAAGAACAACCCAAGTGGTGAACAAGAGAGGGGGGGGAGGAGGGGGAGGGCTCACCTCCTCCCTAATTCAATCAAAAATCCCGCTCCTCTTACCTGACACGTTTATGTTGGCTGATCTAACAACAACCACCGCCATTGGAGGTGGTTAGCCACTGTCGTTCAGATTACAACACGCCAAAAGTTCTGATGTGCAGATACCATTAATCCAACACTGTTGGGCACAGAAACAGCCAAACACAGCCCCAGCCCAGAATGGACAATCCTTTGCATGGCACACCAAGCGAGGATTAGAGGTAAAGAGATGATGTTAAGGAATAGGCATGCCTTCCCTGAGCAAGAAAGCTCAAGCACCTCGTTCCAAAACTATGAACAGTGAATAACAAATCAATTGAATATGGAAAGAGGCCGAGTCAACTGAACATGAAAGAGTCGTTGGGAAAATGATGCAAAAAAAGTGTTTGTACATCAAGAGCAACAAAGCCTTGTATCAATAGTCTTTTGGATATTACAACATCTCAATAGATATGACAGTTTTGAGCTACTAAAGCTAACTTTCATGCAACTTGAATTAAAGAATTAGAACATTACAGTAAACCCAACATTCCAACCATAGTAAACCCAACATTCCAACCATACAATACTTCACCACACAGATGCACCTGATGACAGTGAGGTGAAGGACATCACCATTGCTGGCGCACCTGTTGGTACCAAACTGAAGGTAAATGCCCAATGTCTGTTGGTAATTCTGCTGTGCAATTCCCCGCAAACCCTCATCCCTCCAACACCCATCCCCTATGTGTGGTATGTACGCAGATATGCGCACACACCACACATTGGGGATGGGTGCCCGAGAGACGAGGGATTTTGAGGAAGCACGCCAGAATTACCAACGAGCGTTGGACATTCACAAAGAGTTTGGTGATTGCAACTGTCACAGAATCGTTTGCTAACAGTTGGAATGGGCAAGTAACATATGGACAAAGAACAAAAAATCATATGCCAGACAACAGATGGTGACTAGAAGGGTTTCCGCAATTCCAACAATGCACGCATTCAGCACTTTGCATTGCTTAGTTAGTACACTAAACCTGGAAATACTGTGCATTTTCTGGCCCTACACTGCACTTAGTAAAGTTCAGCTGTTTGCCACAAAGCACAACAAAATTTGACAGCAACATGAGCAACATTTACACAACACATATGCATTCAAAGTCGTTGGACAGTTGATACCATGATTTTCACAATATGCTTGCTGTACTACCTCCATTCAAATAACTCCAGGGTTAACACCTCGCCTATGCGCCAACTAGTAGGCAAGTCATCCTCAGCATTCACACTGAACATACTGGACACCAAGACTTTGCCCTCTCTCCACTTCATCTGTTGTGCAACTGAGCACACACTCACTGACTTCGTTCCTGGCAACACAATATTCACAATAAACACAAGCTTTGTGTGAAAAATTGTTGCACCACGCAGACCACAAAAATGCAACAATGAGTACATTGCACAATAAGATCAACCAAGAAACTAATACTGGACACCAAAAAAACTACAGAACCACACCAACACAATTCAAAACAGAACTATTCGCCCAGCTAGGTCTATTTCCAGACAACCCTTACAGTGCACCAGTTGCAACAGTTGTCACCAGGAATGGACAGCCAAGCCAGCCCTTTGCCACAATGCATGTGATCTTGGCCCTGTGAATGCTCCAACGCAGGTACACGGTTGTCTGCCCTCGGCCCGGTAAACCTGAACATGCTGCAGGCAGGCGACCGCCTACCCACATTGGAGCATGCAATGGGCTGGAGTGACCCACCATGACCAAGGGGTTGCAGGGCCACTCCAGCATGTTGGGAGGGCGATCGCACACCCACTTCGATGTGAGGGGATCCCGAGGTCAGGGGAAAGTCAGTTGCAGATAAACTGTGTAAAGTCGCTTGTGGTACATCCATTCTGAGTGGGCCGCCCAGCAGGCATCTTCTTTGGACCTCCGAACCTTGCCCCCCAAGCACAAAACCTCTGCTTGGGTGGAACACCGGTGCAACACTGGCTTAGTTTCTCGATCATCGAGGCAAAGCCATCAGTAGGCATTTGCAATAATGTTAGGTGTACATTTTCTGTGCCCTTCTGCCAGATTCCAGCAACCAAACATCGCATCCAGCTGGTGCTGCGAACAATTTGCCCAGTGGGAGTGGGCTCACTGGCACAAGGATATGAGCGAACAAAACTCAAACTGCAACCAATCCACAAGCTTTCACTGCATGGCTTACATCAGTGGTATTAAGCCTCAAAGCCATCCCCACACTGATCAGAAAGCACACAGTCCTAGACTCCAAATCTGGACAAAGTCACATATCAGTGCCAAGCCACGTTCGCAAAATTTTTGGCTTCGCTGGAGAGCACCAACCCGCAGGTGCACAATGAGCAACAGCACCTCAACAAACTTTCAACTGGGGATAGGACACCCTGGCTCCAGGTGATGCCAACCCCAAACTCGCAACTCTTGGGCAGTACATGCTTGTACTAGAACGTTCCGTGCCAGGCTCCCTACCCCGCACAGGGGCACCAGAATCCCCTGCAAGGGCCAAAGCCCCCCCCCCCCCCTCTTGAGGTGTCTTTCGAAGACCAATATATATAGTAGCGATTAGATATTAGCTCCTTCCCCCACGCCAACGTATATTCGATCGCATTTTCCTATCCTGTTCTTCGACCGCCGTTGCATGCGCCGCAGACGAGTGGCCACAGGAGCAACGAGCGAATGAACAAACGGGGTATTAACCTTTGTGTGCACCGCCGTGTATTCGCGCCCCCATACGTGGCGAACAAATGAACGCTTGAATACGCACATGCCCGCCTTCCTCGCCAGGGCGCAAGGTCTGCGCATCGCTTCTGGCCCAGAAAATGCAGCGCAATGAACTTGGCCTCCTCTCCGTCGACACAAACCCAAACATGAGATCAGCCGCCAGCCAAGCGGGCTTACGGCCGACTTGAACGAGAATCCCTCTCAGTTTTCCCACGCAACCACTGACAATTTAACAACTGAATAATTGATAACACAAAAGGGGGTTCCTCAGCTCACCTCTCCAACCCCAACATCACAGAAAATTCTCGGCACCTCCACCGGCGCTCCCGGTCGCCTGGCCCCAGCCGGGATCCCCGAGGTTCTTGAGCCTTCGCCCGCGTCGTTCACCGGAGATGTGCTCGAGCCTTCGGCCAGGCCGCTCATCGGAGAGCTTCCCGAACATTCACCCGCGTCGCTCACTGGAGAGATTCCCCGGGTCCGGATCTGGCGCTCGATCCGGCCCATCGGTAGCGGAGAGCCAGCGGTGGGGTCGGAGCGGTCAGACCGGTCGGGACGGCATCCAGCGGGCCATGGCGATTTGTGAGATGCGAAGCCAAGTCCGTGGCGTGCTGATCGCGCGGCTGCCCACCGGGCGGCGGGAGCGGCGCTTCGCAGGTGGGGCGCGGCGGCTGTTGTCCAAAGTGGGGCGCTGCAGTTGCGGTTGTGGCTGTGGTGGTCGCGTGGTTAAATACGCCAAAACATGCCTACTATTCCAGGAATAGTAGGACCTAATGAAACTGGCTAGGAAACCAACAAGGAAACGGAAAAATTGAACCCCGCTCGTAAAAAGCAGAGGGTGAATCCTGTCCTGGAACGGATGAATCCTGGCCCCAGTCCCCCAGATGTAGGTCCTGGGCACCGGGGCCCACTTCCGGACTTCCACCAACTTTCCGGTGAAGCAGTGGTCAACCGCAGTCAAGCAACGTCAAGGCAGGGCGTCGGTTGCCCTTCTCCGGCTCAGAGAGGAGGCCGGCTGATGGTGTGAGAGCCGGGACGTCACCCTCGGCGACTCTAGCAGCAAGGGATGTCCTTCTGACGAGCAACAAAGGCACTTGTGCGGGGGAGGTGAGTCAATCCCCAACCTCCCCACGGTGTTGCTGGATCTGCACAAGAGAATTCGCGGCGCAGCAGTCGAATTGCTGCTCAGATTCGTGAATTGGGCCTGCAGGATGGCTGTCCACAATCGCTAAATGGTGTTTTGGACCTGTCCGAAACAGTTCGCAATGCAACAGTCAAGTTGTCCCTAGATGTTCCAAGATGTTCCAAGATTTGTGAACTAAGTTTGCAGGATGGCTGTCTCGAATTTTTGGCAAAGTTACATCCTTCCGCTTCCCAACATTGGTCGAATCATGCACGGTTGGCGATGCTGAGCGCCTCCATCCATTCCCATCTTGCGAGCTTTGCACCATCTTGATGCTCGCCCGGGACGTGGCTGTCGATGGTACTCATCGTGGCGATTCAATTCCAATTGGCATCCACAATCCGAATCTGCTCTTTGCGAAATGGCGCCTTTTGCCTTTGGCGCCCTTTCTGCTTCCCTTAGCTGTGGGCTAACGTCGCCGCCCCAGCCCTGCCGAAAACTGGGAGCCCCTCACAGCATGCTCACCCTCACGGGTGAGTTCGCCGGTCACTGCTGGTACCCACAACTGGGGGGCTGGGGCTAGCGTGCATTAATTCAAGGGCAGAGTTCATCCTTTTACGGGTGGCGTTTAATTCTGTGCTCAAGGAAACTAGCAGCAAGAAGGGAACTGACAACGAAATTGGATAATAGTTTTTTGCAATAATAGATTTTTGAAAATCGTTTGTAAAAATAACTATTAGTTTCCTCGTTAAACAATGAAAATAAGGAAACTAGACAGTCGCTGCTACAGTATTGAGGACTTGGGGCTGATGCCGCTTTCAGAGGTTACTACTTTTCTGTCCGGGTTCAGCCTCGGCGTCCGAATTGAGAAGAGCATTGGGGGTGTTTCCCGGTTCATGTGAAGAGGTTTCTTCTCATGCCAATCTGCTCGTGTCCATCCCAACGGGGCTGACATCGCGCATTCACCGTGAGTCTCCCAGTCCAAAAGCAAAAAGGGAGCAAAATGAAGGCAAACAAGAAAGGAAAAAAGCGAAAACAAGGAGCGGAAAGCCGAAAAAATTTGTACACACATCAGCGCGCACTGTGCCACAGTGGTTCCACGACGCCATTGTATGTGCATCAACAGTGCTGGTCACAATAAGATCCCTGGACTAGCTGGGACCTGGCTTGCTTAACTAGGCAACGACTAGAGATTTTATGTGGGAGGGCTTAGGCCAGTCAAGACCTTGAGTATAACTGGCGTTCTTGACACGCACACACTCATGGCACTGGTATTCTCAAGCTGAGCATGGTGGCGCCCTCCTGCATTGCGCAATTTTTCAAACAGGGAATCCCTGTCCTGAGGGTTCCGATCCCTCTGTCGGGAACACTAAAAAAGACCCCATCAATCCCTCGATAACTGCATCGGGGAAGGGATCCCTTTCTTGGAAAGAAACAATATGAAATATGGCACTAGCCGTGCATACCTACACGATTGCTTTGGGCGTTTTTATTTTCAAGACAGGGAATCCCTGTCACGAGGCTTCCGGCCCCTCTCGCGGAAAGAAGCAAAAAACCCATCAATCCCTCGACAACTGCGCAAGAAATGGATCCCTTGCCTGACGCAGTTATCGAGAGACTGATTAATGAACTCCGGAATTCACGGATTCGGTTGTTGGCGCACGCTTTATTTTTCGTTTTTCTCACTGTTCGTTCTCAATTCTGTCTGAAGGCGAGACAAAATAAGCAGTAAAAACTGGTGGAAAACAACCGCGCAGAAGCAGCGCAATTAGACACTTGGACCGGGTCACACAGGTAACACCGGGCGTCATCGGCTTTTCAGACGCACGCGCACAGCCCGTCGCTGCCGAGGTGCCACCATCCGCGGCAGGTGCCCACCGGACTGCACCCCAACTCCCAGCCCCCCAGGCCAACCCACCGCCTCCCAGCCCAGGGTTCACGTGCGCCCAGATTGGCCCCGATCCTCGCGCTCCACCGACGAGCAGCGCCCCGGGGGGGGGGGCCGGGGATCGGCATGGAGGATGGGCCACCCGGCCCGCCCATCTTCTCGGGCACCAGCGGCAAGAAGGAGAACACCTGCGCCAACTGCGGCACCGACAGCACGGCGGGCATCTGGCGCCGGGGGTGGGACGTGGAGGAGGGGAAGTCGGCCAACCTGTGCAACAGGTGGGCGGGGGCGGGGGATTGGAGGGAGAGGGTTGGGTGATTCTGAGAAAGGGGTTGGAGAAACGACAAACGCGGGTCAGCGAAAGGAAAGCGGGGCGTGCGAAGGGCATGCTGTCCCGTTCAGGCGTGCGTGAGGCTGCTTTCCGCTCTGTGAAAGTATGATGCAGAGGCTCCGGGAGCGAGGGGTGCTGTGGCTGGATTTGGTAGGTGGGGGGAGAAGCAGGTTGTGCAAAGGGCAGCGCCTTGTAAGCATGTGTGTGGGCGACTCCTGTCTATGTTGCATCGGGATGATGCGGAGTCTCCGGTGCAGGAGGGGAGTGTAGGACACGAGGGAGACAAAGAACAGGGGGGATGGCTGGAGGGGGGGGAGCGGTTGCTGGCGCCTCTTCCTGTCTGTTGGCCGGTGTGCGGCTCTGATGGTGGGGGCGAGGTGCATGGGGGAAATTTCTGGCGCGGGAGCGGTGTTGCGCCTTTTGGGAGGATTGGATTCAGGGTGTTCGTGTTTGGGCGCGGGGGTCCGCGACCCGCGCGTTTCCGCTGCCACTCGCGCCCAGCCGTCGCGCGGTGCCGAATTTGGGAGCAGGGCAGCGGGGCGGTTGCTCAGGGGCCTGCCTTGCGGGGTCCGTTTGCAACATTGGCTTGATCGGCCTGGGCCGTGTTGATCAGGCTCGTCGTCACCGTTTCCCTCTGCGATGGATTGGACTAGTTCCGGTCCACGTGTACTCCGAAGTTTTCTTAGTCGAATGAAAACCTGTACTACAGTGTGGAGCCCCTCCTGAGCAGAAGGGTTGAGACTCATTCACAGTGTATGTAACAAACGATGTGGAAATCTCTCAAGGCCGATGTACCCCAGCCAGGACCTGACCGAAACTGTGACCCTATCAAGGTGTCCGTGGCCAAATCAATCAACCACAAGTTTGCTCACCACAAGTCGATCGCCTCTTTGGTGAACTTCCCCCCGCTCAGCAATCGGCAGAATCCAATGGATGATCGGACGTACTCACCTACCTCAGCAGGCGCCATGTAAGCTGCCTGCCTGAGATTGTCTTTCCAGCAGCAAGCAACGTGCCATCCGGGGTACACCTTTCTGGTGGAGGACTCTTCTGAGACTGTTGTGTGCCATGAAAGATGGCACAGGCGGGATATTGCCTTCTGCAAAGGAAGTCCTTACATCCTGCAGGGAGCAACAATAGCCAAGCCACTTGGCAAATTGTTGATCTGGCCACGTAGGCCAGCTGGCTATCAGAATAGTGTGGTATATGGAAGCTGTGGAGGGTAGCGCTGAAGCCTTGGCATGGAATTAGAATGGGCACATGAGTAATTGTGGCTCATTGATCGAATTTTGTTGCTCTTTGGCGTTGTGAGACCATGGAGAGTGTTTTGGATGAGCTCCGTGCCACTGCAGTTTGTGGCCCTTGTCCCCACACCGCTCTGCTGTGCCACCAGAATTGATTTTGGCTTTGAGAAAAGACCTCACAGTGTTGAATCTAGATCGATCTCAGGGCTGCTGACAGGTATCCCACGCATATTTTGTGATTGTTTATTACTTATTTCTTTTTGTGTTTTGTGGATGTTTATTACTTGTTTCTTTGTGTATTTTGTATATTTGCACTCATTTGCTGTTGATTCCAGGCCTTCTTGTCCCAACAGCATCAGGTGTCCTGTTGCTGGCGTTAAGCGAGTTCATGAACAGGATGCTGGGCTGTTGCATGGGGCGTACGAGCGATGTTGCTGGTGATGGGGACGGAAAAACTTAGAGAGTAGACAGACACGAATTTTTCTCGGCCGTGTTTGGCCGTTTCCTTGCATCCAGATGAATGCTGAGCTGCCAACCAAATGAGATGTCTTGCACCTGCCAATCATGCAGGACACTATCCTATTGGTAGCTCCAACTATGCCAGCAATTGAGGTGCTGTCCTGCTGATTAGATTCGCCACTGGCTAGTCCCCAACAATTTGTACAAGTAACTGCAGTTCCAATCGAATCCATCTTGCTGAGCGATGCACAGAAATCTCGCTGAGGAAGGGTGTATGCTCTGTAAGGGACTGTTTACAATCCAAGTGGCGCTGCAGTCTTTTGGCTGAAAGTCACGAGTTGACGTACCTAGTGTACCCTGAACCCAAAAACCCGAAGGGTGAGGAGCCTGACACTGAACAAAATGCTAACGGTGTTGATGTGCAGACAAGAAAATGTTCAGCCAGCGAATCGAGGGCCATGATGCTTAGTCCAGCAGTCTGGCCCCCTGAATGTGCAACTCTGTTTGGTCAGATTCAAGGCCAGTGTGATGTGGTCGTTGTAATTGTACATTGTGCTTCAGCCTGCAGTTGGTTTGGCACAGCAGGATGTGGCCCTTGCAGGCAATCAGTGGCTGTTGTCTTCTGGCCGATGGTGTGCATGGAATTTCACTGCCAAAGGCGCTGTATGCACCACTGGTGCTGCAAAGGCTGCAGCGATCATGTAGGTCTGATACCACAACTGAACCCGCCACAGTACATGACAAATGGTGTGGCTGCGTGTAGATGTGGCCTCGCTTTCAAACAGGGCAAGGTTACCCGTGCAGGGCAGGGCTCAGGGCCCACCACTCGGAAGGACCCACCTAGACGGCCCAAGCCCAATGTGGCAGTGGCAAGAAGTGCTCAAAGGTATGCGGAAGTGTCCCCAAACGAATTCCTCAAGACACTTAGTCTGTTATCAAGTTATGTGTCATTATTTGCATTATGTGCGTGTTTGCATTAATCTGATTCCACATGTGTACATCTGTACTGTTTGATATTCCATTTGTTAATAATCGGGACCCACCACTGCCCTGCTGCTTGCTGAGCTGTTCATTCAGTACATGAGTGCTATATCCCCAATGTTGTGTTCCCAATCCCACCAAACACCCCCGAGTGCTCTCATGCCAGCCATGTCAAGTGTGCTTTTTGTAACGCTGGTGTATCGACTACACACAATAACATGCAAATGGCACCATTAAAAAATGGATCATATCTATGAAATATATAACATTAAGAAATCGTCCCTCTGCTGTCCCCAGGCAGTCTGCCCCTGACTCCATATGGCCTTCCAGTACTTCTGACACGGGCCCTGGCACCGCTGCTGGAGCCCCAGGGCCCACGCCTTCTAAGGATGATCCTCGGGGCCCAGCCTCGACTGACCGCTGTGTGCCGGAGCTGCCCTTTGATGTGGTCCAGGCCCCAGGGAGCAGTGAATATGTCAGCTATTCACTGACTAAGGACACGCTGGCCGATGGGGTGCGACGGGTGTCATTTCACATGCAGGACAGCCAGGGGTTGTCCACGCTGGCGGTGGTGGTGAGTGCCCTGGAAGACAGCATGACGATAGATTGCTTATGTTGATGTGTACAACATGTTGATGTTTTGTTGCTGTGTTATTGCTGCAATCATTGTGCTGGTGTGTGTGGGATACACCACATATCAAGAAAACCGTGTTTTGGGCCAAAAATGACTTGATGTTACTTGTTTTTCACTCACACAGAATGCACGTTTGTGCGGCTTATCCTACAAATACCCCTGAAAACATTTTGTATATTTATATCTGCATTTAATATAAATTTTGTAAATTTTCTGTATTTTATCAATGTATGCCTGTAGTCACATTCCTGTTTCTGTTTTGGCAGCAAATGTGTGCTTGCTTGTCTGTCCTGCTGGCACAGTGGACTTCACAGGTCTAGGCAATAGGTACTCAGTAAGACTTGCACAGCGCGAATCCCAAAACATGCTCCGGACATGAATCATACCCAGCCATATCCAATTAATATCCAACAATGCAAATATAGCATTGAAATTATCAATATGTTGTATGTGGTGATCCACTACAGCTCACTTTGTTTGCCATCCCTCTTGCTCCAACCAAACAATTCAATATGGTAGCTACTACTATGGTATCACCTGCAGCAATATTTAGAAAAACGGTAGGAAATAGGTACTCAGTGCGTTAAATTTGATGCCCATTTTGCCATGTGGTTGTTGCCCACAAAGTCTCCGGTAAAGCAGGCCACAATTGGTCATCGGGCTGTGGGCAACAGAGTATTCAGTTGACAGGTTGTGCAGCAGGGAAGTTTCACCAATGGCTGTCCTTGCATTAGGAACAGTTCAGCATATGTTGTGCAGTTCTTGTACATTCTGATGAGATTCCATCTTGAGTGTGCTGATTACTGAGCACAAACTGTGTCATTTATAACATAGTTTATAACATATATATAGCTGAGTGATTTAGTCAGTTTTCATCTAATTCCAATCTGGTTCCATTCACATCACCTTATTCTATCTCTTATCAGAATGCACCAGCCATGACAAGCAGCCTGTGCCTTAATCCAGGGCTTGGACCCTCGAGGAACGGGCCATTTCACATACAAATCGCAATCTGGCCTTGAACCCTACTTGCACGTGACGAACCGCACCGAAGTCATAAACTGGCTGGCAACCCATGGCGCTAAGCAACAAGTCAGCCCAGCCAACGCAGTGCCCTCTCGTCCTTCACAAGCGCAGATTGTCGCTGAGGTGGTTGACACGCCGCCAAGGCCAGACCTGGGAGGGTGAGTGACTGCTCTGTATGGAGCTTGTACGCCAAGTGTTGCCGAGCAGACCAGGTTTGTGTGTCTAAAACTCTTGGGCATCAGCCTCGCTTTGACGCAGAAGCACTGACCATTCCATCTCTGTAGGCTGTGTGTCCTGCTATATTGAGGTGATTGGCAAGTGTCGCTATAGCAATTGCTAACAGTCAATGTTGGCAGGTACAGCTGATGATGTGTGTGTGTGGGGTGGAGTTTTAGGAGGTGGGAGTATTCAGGGTGGGCATTGTGTGGTTGCTTGTAGCCTGTTCGTGTATCCTGTTGGTTTATTTTGGAATGTGTTGAATACTGGCACAGCAGATGGAAGGTGGGCTTGAAGTGTTAGATAGCATGTTGCAGCTCATTTCACGACATTGCATGCATTTGCTGCATTGGTCTTACATTATTATTGGTATGTATAGTGTTTCATCAGTATTGCTTGTCTTCTGTTAATGTTGTGTGGTTTGGCAAACGATTATATGCTATTGCATACACAGCTTGACACACAAACCAAATATATATGAAATCTGGAGTTTTTCTCCCCCACGAGTTTGAACCTGTTGCTGGTCCTTTGACTGTGTTTAACAATTGTGGTAAAGCCCTGTGCCTGTAATGAATCTTGCACGAGCATATCCATAGCAGTATGGCGTATCCATAGTTTGTTTTGGTGAATCTGGCAAGATTACTGTTGGCTTTATTTATCTTTGCAAATCCTGGTTGGTCAATGTTGGTGGTCATTTTTGTAATTGTGGGACATGTGTTGCTGTACTGTCAGGACATTGTTGGGATGTTCTAGCTGAACATTGTTGGCAGCTGGGGTCCTTGTTCCTGTTCATTTGGGTGCATGTATTGCAAAGAAAGCAATGTGCACTTCTTGCTGTGTATGTAGTGCATTTTTCATCATGTCTTACTTGTTATTGGTCATTGTATTTTTTGTGCACCCACGATCTTCATAGTATATGGCACTCTCAAAGATAGTGCGTGTCCCACTATCTGTGCAAGCATTGTTACACTCATTGCAAAATCCTGAAGACGATGCCTGATAATCAGGCATCATCTGGACAAGAGTCATTGTTGCCCAGTTGCTTACATTTAGAGCAAGTTCCCTTGCCTGTCATGTTGCTGTGTCGTTTGACTGATTTAGCAGATACATTGAAACGATCATCAAAGATATCAGCGGTTTATGTAACCCATTTTAACCATAAGAGTTATTCAATTGTTCAAGAAAAATTGCATTCAAGAAAATTGAAAAAAATGAACATGTTGTGCAGGAAGTACACGTCGTTTGAGGAGAACCACTACAAGTCCAAAGATGGCACGCATCACCGAGAATACTACCTGGTGATTCTGGGTTCGTCATGTTCTGTGTTCTTGTACAACTTGACAATTTTCGCACATGCCGATTTTTCTCCAAGTGCTTGTTCTGCTGTGCTTTGGGATGCTTTGGATTGCATCTCCGCATTCTTGGCAACGTTTCTGCATTACTTTTCCCCTTAGCCAAGTGGCCATAACTGCTAAAAGCCCTTCTGGCTGGAATGCCCTATTGCGCTTTTGGTATGCTCAATGCCCGGCAGACCTTGTGGTGGTGTGGGCAGACAGTAATGCCCGTGTCAGACAATCCACTCTTGTTGGATGATCGCTTGACACCCAAACAAGTGGCAGAGTATGCAACACAACAGTCAGCTCATGCCTGGTCCAGACGACAGCACAGTTCAGGGTCAAAGACAGTGGCAATCGGTGCTGGCTGCTCGACGGTGATCGGCAGCACATTCTGGCAATAGACCTGTTGCAGTTGCTGGCCTACCGGTCTGTAAATTGATGATCAGCTAAGTGGTACAGCGGCGAGGGTGTGCCAGTGAGAGTGGCGGCAGCCAGAGATGTGAGCCAGCACAGATTGTTATGGAGGCAACTGTGCTCAACAACGTGCAAATGATCCCCCGGGGGAAATGGCAGCATTTTCTGGTGACTTTTTATTGTCCAGGGATGGGCTGGCAGTTGCATGGTGTGGGTGGGATTTGCTGTCGCATTCTGCAACACAGCCAGGCACACTGGGGCAAGGGCTGTTTTCGCACTTGGCCATGGAGGGCATTCGGCGGCACTATGCTGTGGTGGCGAGCAGCTTGGTTAGAGCTGCGTGAAGGGCCCAGACATGTAGTGCAATAATTCCATCAGGGCGGAGCATTGCTGTTAAAGGAGTCAGTGCACTCCAGCTACAATGCTTCTCTCACACCAATAAGTGTCTTCTCTTTTTCCACTTTCTTTTGGCCTTCTTTCACTGTTTTCTGTGCAGTGGGCTTTTGGTATCCCTGACATGATTCACTCTGTCTGGCATGGCCACCCTGGCAGGTGAATGGAGAGGGGGACAGGAAGCTCGTTATTTCTGCCCACGATGGCCCCAGGCAGGACAGGTCAGTTGGCGTCTCACCTATTTGTAGCGTGTGTCTTTCCAAAGTTCTGCATCACATCCTGTGCCCATCTCTTACCATCTTGGAGTGTTGTTTACCATATCACGTAATGTCGAATGTGACTACGCTGGATCGTAAATCGCCATACCTGGGCTATTAATTGGGAGGTTAGTCCACATTGCAAGACGGGCTCCTGCTGCATGATGTTGAACCTTTTGCGGAGGCAATTCGATGCGAGGCAAAGAGCCTACCCTTTTGCTTCTGATGCAGGGACGTGCGAATTCCGATTAGAATTCGAGACACTCGATTATGGTTCAGCGAGGCTTTTGTATCTCAAAAATCGGAATCTGAACTGGAACTGAAAATCGAAACTGACAATGGAAAGGCGAAGCTGAAAATTGGTGAACCGGCCGGGCGTGTTTTGCAGGCGTTATGAGTACCGGTCGACAGAGGAATTCGGCGCCTTGTCTTTCAGAAACGCCACGGAGTGCGAGCGGTGGCTGGAGTACATCCTGGGATTGCGGGACACCCTGCCGCAGGGCATCAGGAGCAAAAAGAGGGTGAGTTCCTCGTGCACGACTTGTGTGTGGTAAACAGTATTGGTGTTGTTGTGAATTGCTTGACAACAGCATGGAGTTGAACAGCACCATGAATGACAATGTGTCGTTTGTGATATCAGATACGTGCGTTGGTAGTTTTGATTGCCGAAGCGGGCAGGCGAGTTCGCACCCGCACTTTATTGTTCTGATGGTATGTCTGTTGCGTTGTGTTCTGCAGCTACTGCACTGCTACTTTAACCTCGACCGATCCTCAATTGTTCACTAATCTGTAGTTGGCCGCTTCGCGCTAGATTTCATTTCAAGTCGCCTCCTTGTTGATTTTTAACAATGGAATAAGATGGAAATGGCGAAGGGACAATATTTCCGGTGAAATGCTAAGCGAAAGACGTCGCCAAAGTTGCGTTATGCTAAATCGGTGTGCTAGCTTTCCTTCCATTCATTTTGCGCTGGCCCGACAGTTTCCGACATTTTTTCTGGCTCGACAGTTTTTTTTTTCGGGCACTAGCGGCGCGTACACTGCCATATGGGATTGTGGAAATGGATTCCATAACCCCAAAAGAACATATAAGGAACACTGCGGTGAGGTAAAGTGCGTGCTTTGACCATTTATGAAGGGAACTGCAATGGGTTCCTTTCGGGAAAGCGGTCCATGAATGCATGACGCTCGATGTGACAGGAACACTCGGCTGCTGGCGAAGCGGTGGGCACCGGACCTCAGGCCAAACGACAGAGGTGAGAGAGCGCTCAGAGGGCTGATCTGATCGTTTGTCCCACTCTAGCACTTGAATTTTAAACGGAAATGCAAGCGCGATCATAATTATATAAATATCTATTTTCAGCAAACATAAACACACAAGTGGTCGAGGCTCACCTCATTCTTTGCCCATTGCCGGGCTTTCTATTTATGTAAACACAGCCTATGTTTATGTATATTTTTACGTTTTTACTTCGAAGTACGTAAGTGCACGCTGTGTTTGTGCCGTAAATAACAAGCCCTGCCGATTCTATATTCTGTTACACTGTGTCTTATTATATTATACATTATTGCGAGGCCCATCATCGAATTCCGGCTCAGTTCCGCTGCCCGTGGCGCGCAGTCCCCAGAAGCTCGAAGATGAGACCGCGCTTCACAAGGGCAAGGACATCGCGGCCGCGTACCAGGCCAACCCGGACATCTACGAGTGGGTGATTTCGCGGCCCCCGGATGACGTGGTGGGTCGGTTCAAACAGTGGGCCGCCAAGCTGAGCGGCATCGTGACCGACGAACCTCCGGCCGGCATGGAGCCCAACACCAACTGGACGTCCACACAGGAGGCCATCCAGATCATCCAGCTCATCGACAGGTGCGGCGCGCTGGTTTGCCGCTCTCGCTGCTGTATCTGTACGTTCGCGTTTGCGTTTCGTAGTGCTGAAGCTCCCGTTGTTTTATTCACATGGACGATTGGTGTCGTTTGCATCGTCTGATTCTTTTGATGTGTGCGCTTTCCAGTACTTTGGCACTCTTCAGGTGCACTGCAAACAGCTTTTTTTCTTCTGACTTTTGGAGCACTTCTTGAAAAGGTTAACAAAACAAGCCAAAAAATGAGAAACAAACGAAAAAAAGGAACAAGAAAAAGGAGAGACAAGAACAAAACCAAGAAAAAATAGAAACTAGAAGAAAAGAGAAACAATCAAAGTCGTTAATGCTGTGCCTGCCCCGGCAGCTGCGAGACGAGCCTCAGGCTGCTCGAGACCACGCGGATCTCCCGCGCCATGGCCCTCCTGCGCAGCCACAAGCACGACGAGCTGGCCAGCCTGGCGCGCAAGGTGTCCATCAAGTGGAAGAAGATGGCGGACGAGGCGCTGGTCATCGCGCGCAGGTCGCTGCAGCAAATATACGGCTGATGGAAACCAGGTGGGGGATGGGACGGGCACGGGAGACCATTGCAGAAGGAGGGGAAATAGAGGGAGGGGGGGAGGGGAAGGGGGAGGAGTGCTGCGTAGGTGACTTTTGATTGGTGGTTGTGTAGTCCGAAATGGGTCCATGAACCCTTTTGGCCATGCTAGGGGAGCGGTAGCTTAGGGACTGGACTGAAATTACTTGTAGTTGTCTTCGAAGCCAAAGTGATAGGGACTGGGCTTGGCTGCAGGTGTGGGCGTGGCTGGATGTTGCCTCGTGGCGTGGTGGCAGACGGGATGGGGTGGAGAATTTAGCTTGAAGCAATGGCGGTTTTCATGCCTGGCACCTTTGCGTGTCTAACAAGCAAGTGCGCAGCGGTGGATGCAGTGCCTTGCACTGCCTGGAGGGATGAGTCGTGGGGGAGGGGGCGCAAGTGGGAGACACGGGCGCCCTCTGGAGATTGGAAAGACATGATAAGCCACTCTGGTGGCTGCAGCTGTCTCAAGAAATCCTGCCTGTTTGCGCTTGCGAGAAACATTGCAGGGCAGTGCGCTTCAGCGACTCACCCTGTGTGGGTCGCCGCATGCCTCTACTGCACAAAACTTGCTTCTGGTTGGAACGCCAGGCGAGGGGGGGCACGGCAGTGTGCAGTGACGGGGTTGCAGGAGCGTGTCATGCAGCGATCGTAGCAGGGCGCTAGTGCTGGACAAATTTGGTGCCATTTTAAGTGCCACAGTGTTGGCTCAGCAGCGTCGCTTCCCCTGAAGCGGCGTTCCCTTGCGCCTGGGTGACTTGTCGATGATCGCCACGCCGTCAACTTCCCTTCTACCCATTCGGTTGCTGGCAGGGTGGCTCCCATTCGCTTTGTGGGATGTCGACGATCGCACAGAGCAAAAAAATGAAGCGAATAACGGAAGTGAACATTCGTCGACGAGGACAAAGTTGTCCGCAAGTTTGGTGCGATGGCCACTCGTTTGCAATACCCTATTCGATGGAGACATGTCGTAAACTCAACACCTACAAACATTGCGAAGAGTATTGGGGCGGTACCCGTCAGCTTCCGAGGTCGCTCAGGGAAACAGTGGTTGCACCCGCAATGGCCAACTTGGCCTTAAAGGCGTCACTATACGACTCGCCCCACGCCCGTCTCCTTATTCCCACTGGCTGCAAAACACAGTGCGGATCTCAACAGGCAGCGGGTGTTCTTGTATTCTTCATCTCCTGACGCTATGGTATCGTATGGGAGCACCCCGCCCGTGGAGCAACCTGCTTGGCGGGAAGGCCATAGCCAGCCTTGAGCACATGCGTGTGTTCGTACTTAATGTGCTTTGCTTCATGTAATTAACATTCTTTGCCTCTTGGCGAACGTCCGTGGATTGCACTGGTCACGAATGCGACACTTAGGAGGTTATTCTAGAGAATAAATTCCTGATGTTTGAGGACATGTTCGAGTCGCCAATAAATGGGGTCAATCTAACATAACGACTGGCGACCAATTTATCTAAGCTGGCGCCCCATGAGGCCCAGAATGTGGACTAAGGGAGAACAGGGCAGTCTAGTTGCAGCACTGAGGGCCAGGTCATCGACAGCGAAGAATATTGAACGCCATCAATGGCCATTTAAGCAGTGGCCAGAGCAGCAAAAATGGGCACGCAGATATGGGCATGAACCACGTCAGTGCATTGAATTCAGAATTCAACTGGGACTCAATATATGAAGGCCAAACTCTTTGATCTGAACATGCGCCAAGACGCTGACGGGCCGCATGTGTGACTGCCCAACGATTGCTGTGAGGAGGGCTGTCTGAATTGGCATGGGCTTCAAAGCCATAATGATGTGAAAACGGTTCAAGATGGGTTGCATAAATGTGAGATGACGACTCTTTTCTACTTCAGCGTTTGATGGCTTTTTATTTCTTTCTAGTGGCAATTGCCAGCCAGAATAGCGACATCACCTTTTTGTGGAATGAACATCAGAGGTGGGTATTTGTTTTGCCATGTGCTGGCATGGATATAGTGGTCATGGATGGGCTGGTTGAGTGACATCATATCCCTCGAATCGCCATTACAGCAGCTGTGAAGCGCGGGCAGTTTTCAACCGAATCTGATGGGCCACAGGGTGGAGGGTTGAAGGGGCATTTTTTCCTGCAGCCTGGCCCGCGTGTTGTGCGGGTTGATGTAATCTTTACACGAGGATTATGCGAGCGGCTGGTAATAGCTTTCAAGATGGGCCACTCTTTCGGGGATAAGACGGGCTGGGAGGGAATCTGATGTGGGCCCCCGGAGTGGATATGGCTTGTTGAGGATCAAAGTAGATTGGATGCGTCAACGTGAACATAGTTTCGAGGGGCTATTTGAGGTGGCTACCGTGATTTTTGCAGCGCCACAAGGTCGCGCTGCCCGTTTTGGAGGGGATGCCGTGGAACGAACAATAGTTTGTGAAGCTGCAAGCACCTTGCTGGCCCTGCACCCAGGTCGTGGGGCGCGTAGCCCGACCAGTGTGGTTTCAATGCCAGCGGCATTCCGTCCCGAGCGTTCGGATTTTGGCGCGGCGCACCCACGCCATGCCCATCGTCCCGACTTGCTGGGGTTTACAGCTGAATCTGTTTGGAGCACTGCGGTTTCTGTCAGCCTTTCAATCCTCGCCCTTTCAGATTGCATGTGCCTGCTCAGCATGTTATGCCTGCTAGCAAGACTTTGTGGTGCAAAGCCATTTCCGTAGTGTCCAAGGTCTTCCCCATCCACAGCCAAGATCGCTTGCAAACAATCAACTAATTGCTTCATTTTCTTCCACAATTTCCCGATTATTCAGCTCCAACGCTCCCACGCGCTGCAGGCCACAGAGACCCAAAACCTTTACGAACGTCATGGATGCCTCCGAAAAGTTTCCATTCTCCAGCGCCCGGCGCCGAGCGGCGCCTCTCAAACTCCCAGCAAACTCGCCCGGAGAACACAGCAAACTACTACATCACAAGTACACGAGCAACTGCAGAGGCGCACACGGAAACCTCCCCCGAGCCTCCCTATGTTTCCAATTCTGCCCACCGATTCGCCCAGCTCCTAATGGCGACATCACTCGAGTGATTAGGAGGGGGGGCCATTCGAGCGAATTCGGGATGGCCAGCTCGCCACCCCAAGGCAACACTATCCTGTGCCCACAAGCGAAGAGAAGCGCCACCCATTCCTCGACCCCTTACCAAATCCTAGTAAAAGCCAGACCCGAAATAGGCCACACAGCGGCTCCATGCTGCCCACCATTTAAATGACCAAAATGCATCAAATTTAAATGCACCAAATTTGGTGCACAAGGAGTGTGCAACAGCCGCCAAACTCGAGAGGAAGTCCGCCGTTGTCGCCGCAGGCGAAGGCTACGGTTCTGGTGATCATCGTTGCTACGTTGCTCACGTTTCCCGTCCGCGCTCACACACGGTCGCTCCCAGGCATGGGGAGCAAGCCGCAACCAGATGATGTTACAGAATGATTGTCCCACTCATGTAGTGTTCACTGCAAGCGGGTCCAAAAACATGTCTCTCCCCATCTTTCCCCATTTCACCATACTGAACACCACATTTAATTCACCATAAGAACTTCACCCTCCACACAATCACTCATGTAACTCTCTCGCCTTCACACTCGTCATTGATTTTCAGCCGTCGTCCCCCTGTGTTGCCTGAGCGAAGCAGTGCCCCTGATTTGTTCATTGATCACTGCCAGTCGTCATCAACAATACTACATCTCGAGGCGAGGAGCAAGCCATCACTTCCCCATTTCGCCCGAGCAAAGCAGTGCCCACGACTTGTTCCATGAGAACCCAAGACATTGCCGCAATCCAACAATCCAGCCACTGAGCTGTTGCGCAACAGAACGCAACTACCACTGGACTGTCAAAGTACTGGGCGCCCTCCCACCCGTCTAGGGCACCTTCCGCCTCCTCTGGTAGGGGGCCGCGGGCCCCAGCTCGCAGCCCATTGTCTGCAATCACCGCCAGTCGTCCGCGTGCGTCAGCGCCCACACGCAGGACACCGACGTGACGAATAGCATCGCGTGCACGGCCACGGTGCCCCGCGACAGCCTTGGGGCCGCCCCTGGATCGAAGTTGCTCCGCGCCCCGTATTCCCAAACCCACAGAGCGTACGACGGCAGGCACAAACCCACCACCAGCAGCGAGAAAACGACCAAGTCGCGGCAGCAGTCCAGGGCCGCCGGGACGCCCGGAGGACCGAACCCAAGGACCGCGTTCACCCACCGCCAGACAGCCACGAGGTACTGCCCCCCCCGGCCGTCGATCGATCCATCCGCGCACGCCTGCTTCGGAACGAACAAACACATCAGCGCGGCCGTGGGTAGGTTGACGGCTAGGTGGTGCCTGGCCAGCAGGGGACCGGCGAAGGTGCAGAGGAGCATGGGCAGGGCCCCCGAGGCCATGGCCAGGAGGCGAAGGGCCGACCACGCGCCGGCCACGGGCCCGCCGAACCACATCGCCGACGGCAGCACCACCATCAGGTTCTGCGCCGCTCGGCCGGCCACCGCCGCCGCGCAGCTCCGAAACGGGATCCGCGCATCCCGCCGCGGGCCAACATTCCGCAGAAAGCAAACAACCGCCGCGTCGATCGCCACCGCCACCGCCACCGCTGCGGCCATCGCATTGGCGAACTCAAGCCGCCCACAAGCCAGCGTCAGGCCCACTAGCCCGCCGAATCCAAACACCCCCCAGACGCCGTGACGCCATTGGCCCATCAGACGCCGTGCCGATGCACAGCGCCGCGCCGCCTGTCGCCTTGCGAACTCCCTTTCCGCCTCCGCATCCCGGAACCACAAGCAGGCGAAGGGCCTGACACCGACCGCCTCGCCCATGGGCACAACGCCATCTGCAGATCCCTGTCCCGCTGATGCCGAGCGCACCAGCCCATCTGCTGGGCCCTGCACGGGAACATTTTCCGTTGATGCCGGCCCGGTAGGCTCCACGTTCCCATTGCCGCCCTCAGGCGTCAACTCCTCCATCGGATTCAATCAATCGTCCGGCTGCTCGACGCGGGCGAAAACACCCGGGGTGGTGGGGAGCGGCGTGCCGCACCCCCCAGATGGGTGCTGAGCGAACAGAAGGGCCCTCGGCCGAAGACAGCCGCTCACCAGGGAGATGGGGTTGAGGTACCCGGCTTGTAAAATGTTTCAAAAAAACAAACTTGCGCAGCTTCTTGCGCTGCATTCGAGGCCTTGGAGCCTGGGGAGGCCGCCCGCGGCCACTGCACGTGGCGCGGCACGGCACGGAGGCCCGCCCAACCCGCCGCCGGGATCGCCAAAGTGGGCGAGTCGTTTGTCATGCGCAACGGTGGAGCCGTTGAACTGGCCGTATCACACCCGGAGAGGCCCAAAGTACGGGCGCAAAGTACGCGGCGATGGCACACAAGTGTGCCGCGGTGGGGGGGACCATCTCGCTGGGGGTGTACGGCCGGTGTGTGTGGCGAATTTGTAAGCCCGTGGCGATGATCGTTAGACTGAGGAAACCTGGTGAGACTGCCCTCCACAGCACACAACTACTAGTAGTTGTACACAGTACTGTGGTGGGCGGTGGGCGGTAACTACCCTCGTTATGGAGGGCAGTGCAGGGACTGAGCGGACAAGAGACGTGAGAGCGCCGGTGGCGTACAGGACCAATGGGAAGGCTCCCCCAGGGGAGCAACTGTCCACGA